ATAGTCTCACCCCTGAAACTGATAAGATCTCCGTCTTGATCAACAATTTTTACTGTAATGTTGTTAATTGCTTTAACGCTGACTGGAAAATATAATATGGGTAAAGGAGATTTAACTATTTTATACCCTGGAGCTACAGCAGGATAAAATTGGTGAATAATATGAACAGGTTTTCCGTTACTAAATGAACCAACACAGATATTACAATCAATGCAAATAGCGTTGACTTTACTTATATTAGCAACATTATCTGATTGATCTACTTTATCCGCTTCTATGATTCTACTTTTAAAACCTAGTATTTTTCCTATTGAATCATCTTTTGTAAAATCAATTTGTTTGCTACACATTAAGGTACATTTCAGGGTATTAGTATTAGGTTTTAATAAAAAAGCAACGTTTTCATATTCAAACACAGTTTTAACTTTGTCTTTTATATAGGTTTCTATATCAATTATATCATAAGTTCCATCTGGAATAACAATCACTTTATCACCTATATAAAGTTTATTGTGACCCTTTTCTATATTGGGTATAGTCATAAAAGTTTCAAAATCTGCTAAACCTAAGTAATATTGTTTCTCATCATCCAAATATATAGGTGGATTGAAATCAGCTGATAAAACTGAACTGTTTCCTGATATTGCTATTGTCGTAGACATTGTGTAAATGCTATTTTATTACATGTTGTTAGCTTATATATTATTTTTTAAGAATTTTAGAGAAAGTTGTCCGCAGTTGTATGAATTATTTTTTTGTTTATTTTCATATGTGTAAAATACTTTCACTTCACCATTTGAATTAAAATATTTTGAAAGTTCAAGAGGTGGTTTTAAATTTCCATAACTATCAAAGTATACAACATGATTATCATTTTTAATGTATGAAGTCCAATGTGTTCCTTTATATATATATATATTTATATGTATATATTATATTTATATATATTTTATATGTTCCTATCTAAATTAACAACACCACACTCTTTTAAAGACATTGTATTTGGAAGTTCATCAAGCATAAATACACCCCTGAAATTGGGAATTTTCATTACCTTTGCATATTTAATAATGTCAATATTTGTAAGCGGTCTACGTGGAAAACTTATGTTAATCTTTTGGTCTTTTTTTTTATACCAAGTTTACCACCTTTATACGGTTTTATAAAAAGTCCTTTTCCTTTATATGGTTTAATAAATAATCCCTTTCCCTTAGAAACATCCTCCATTGCAATATTATGTCTATGCATTTCTTCTAACTGCTGTTTATTTTTTTTTTCTGCTAACTGCTAAATATTTATAATGTAAACCACATAGTGGACACTTAGTTGTCATTTTTGCATCATAATGTACATCATTCCATGTTAATATACAGTTTAAGCAAAAAAAGTGTGAACATGTATTTGGCACACAAGTTTCGTAGCAATCAACCATGTCTTGACAAATAGCACAAAACTGTCGCTTAATTTCCTCTTCATTTTCTTTTGTATTTTGTTCGCAGGTTCTAGATTCTTCTTCTTCCCTAGGAGGAGATTGTAATACACTAAGTATAGATTGGTGTTGAACAGTAAAACTCGTCTGTTGAGAGAGGGTTTGTAAATTATTTTCGTCGGTCATTCTGAACTAATACTTACTTTTGGATATTTTACTATATATGATTGGATATTGATATAGTGGGGGTAGAAATAAATGGGGATAAGAATATCTTCGTTTCTCTATATCACCCCCTCTTTGAAGAAAAAGTAGGAATGAATCGACTTGTTATTATCTAAATAGATACACATTTTTAATATAATGAAATATCGAAAAGTAGTATATCGATATTTCTGTACGTCCCTATAAGCTAAGAGTTCAATGTCGTAGAATAACGGTACAAGGAGGGAAAATCACAGAAATGAGGAGGAGGGTCTCTCATATATTACCTACTAATTGACAAGAGAATTGAGAATTGTTTATTATTTATTATCTTTGACTTTTTAGTTCGTTTAATTTAATAATTACTAAAACCAGCAGTTCGAAAAATATATTTAAAAATAAAAGATAAAAATCCAAAAAAATAATTATCTATTAACTTGGATTTGGACGATAATAGGTAAGAACACTAAATTTATTTCTATATTCGATATCAACTTGTTTATTTGATTTTTAGTTTGTGATGTTTCATGTGATGATCATTTTCATCGTCTTTGAATTGACATGAGGATATCTATGGAAAAGTAACTAATCTGAAAGTAAGCCAACATATCGTTTGTCCTTTGTGTACTAACGAAAATATTTTCTTTCGCATCATGAGGAAGTATTACATCAATTAAAAAATGTTAGGAAGTTGATTACTTGTCATGGAAAAGTATTCCAATGGAAATTACTTGTAATAGAAGTAATTCTAAGGGTAAATTTTATTATAATTATTGACCTGTCTACTTTTTATACGTAGATGTTTCAGGTTTTGAGAATAAATTGGTTGAACGCAAAATCTGGAGAAAATACCTATTTCCATACACAGAATATTATACCCATGAAGAATACTAGTCCAAATTTGCTTTAATGGTAGACAATTATTCAATACAAATTAACTTTTTAAGTGACTGAAATATTAAATAGTTTAGAATATGGTATAACAATGTAAAAAAATACTATTTTCAGGAACGATTAGGGCCCAATATATTTGAAACTCATGTTGGACGTAGTATTGAGTTGGGTAGAATATTATTCTATGTTAAGTGAGGGTATCAGATACCTATTATGGTACTGTATTTTAATATACCTACATTAGAATTGTTGGTTATTTCATATTTGTTTTATTTATTATTTTACTTACAAGTTATATAAAGTTAACACTAAAATCTACTCTGTGGTTTAATGCGTGATTACAACCACATGATTTCAAGTTTTTAAAATATAAATATTATAACTGGCTTTAAAAATTCCATTAAACTGTTAAAAGTGTAATTTATTTCAAAATACATATATATTGGTATATATTAATATCGAAAAACTTTTTTATTTCCTTAACTCCAATTTAATAATCATATACATATGTATAAACATTTATTTACGTTATTTCAAATGAAGACCACAGGAAAAACCAGTTTTGTTCATTTTAACTGGAGCCGAGAAAATGCAATTACGAGTGGACTACTCTGGTTTTTCTCCTGTAGGGCAAAATATCTAAGCTGTACTATCTCCTGGACTAAGAGTATTATTATTGCTTTCTTTGATGGTGCCTCGAATAATGCTAACACTTGCCTATAAAGTTGTGTCGCTATCAATTTCTATGAAAATGTAACATATCTGGTTTTTCCCGTGTAGTCTTCAAATGATCTAAAAATTCAGCAGGAATGATCCATTATGCAGCAAACACACTGATGTTGAATCATTGGAAGCTTTTTTGTGGGCATTTCACAAATAAAATAAAAGGTCTAATCAAAAACTGAAAATGCAAAACAGATACTAAGCTTTATAAATACATACATATATAAATAATCATACCTACATCTATTTATGTCGTACAATCCAACCAATATTTTAATATCCTAACCCAAGTAAATAATCAAAAAAGCACTTTTTATATCAAAAGCAGTAATGTTACCAAGGGTTCCAATTAATATCCAGGATTTAAAAAAAACACGATTCTAATTCTTATTATTTTTCTAAATACGTATTGTCTGATAGGTAATTACAAAATATAAATCTGATGTAAATAGAAAAATATGATGTAAAAACAGGTAAAAACTCTTCGGCAAAAAATGGTAAAACAAGAACAAAAACTCTAACCAAAGATTTAACCGTCATACGACAAGAGGATTACGTGATTGCACAATACCCAACGATAGGGTACGTACCTCTTTCATCTGATTGGACGGTTGGTTGCGTATTTTAATCTATCCTTTAGCATTCCCATCGCGAATCACCAACTCTTTCTTGGTGTTATTTATATATTATTGTTAGAACACTAAATATAAGATAATAAACTTTTAATCTATTTGAAATTAAATCATTACTTAATATATTATACATTATTTTATTCAGATAATAATTAAACTCCAAAAACCAAGTCAAGTTCTATAAAAAGCAAGCTACAATACTTCACAATATTCAAAATAACTTCCCAGCCTCAACTACTTTTATGTTCAAAGGTACTACAGAAGCTATTATGCCAAAATTAATATTATGTTACTAAGCATACACAAACTACATCCAGTGGTGGCTCGTGAGTCGAAGAAAAAACAACTTACATTGGAATTTGGTTAGTTGGTCCACTTGTACAAAGCCCCGCATGTAGAAGTAAGGGAGACGAGAATACAATGAGTTACCCCCTGGTGCCCAAGGTTGAAACTAGTAGAAGCTAGTCATCTATCTAGCTACGCATCCCTTTGGCCTGGTCCCGCCATAGGAGAAATTAGGTTTTTGGTGAGGTTGTCTTCTCTTGGTCTGAGTGGTTAAGCCAAGATACCCTCACACCCTCTACCCGTCAAACATGACCACAGAGAGTGTCTGTATGGTCTGACGGAAAGGATAGTCCCATCCGGCATAGCTATACGTCTTCTCTACGGACAAGACAATGAGATGCTCCTTAGACCCAGCCAAAGTACCAGACGGAATTGAAGGGGTGGCTGCAATAACCAGGCAGCTCCATTTTAACAAATTTTGCTAGCAAAACCAGACAGTTCTAACAGCTGTACAGTTTGTTGTAAACCGAAAGCAAGGTAGCTCCAGTAACTTTGCCATATGGGTACTGTTCCACAACGTGGCCTGATAACTGCAGGGTACAATCGGCCTATTTTTAAAGGGTAAGTAAGTAAAAATCTCATTTTCGTAAAAAAGTGTAGCTGCCTGGTTATGGCAGCCACCTCTTCAATTCCCCCTAGCACCTGACTAGGAACTTCCCCACCAACGATGGGAAATATGAACGAGCTGTCAATATTGCCTTTTCTAACTAAACTAACACGAGCCGCCACTGAGTAATTAATTGAGAAAATGTAAAGTGAATTAGTTTAGTTACCTTTAACCACCTTTTGCTGGGTCCTAGTAACTATAAAAGAACAGTTGATGTAAAACATACCACATGATATAGATTAGAAACGTAAATGTTAAGCGCCTCTATGTGTCATAAGATGATAACAATATGTTATGTGAGGTATTAGATAATTATAGTTACCATAGGTGACATTAAACATTTTAGCGATTCTCTTCTTAAAGAACTCTCTTGTTCTTTTCCGTATATGCAACATAACATTGCGGCCATTTGAAGGTCCGATTGTAAAGCATAATGGCGAATTCTAGAAATAAAATTCGTTAGCAATACATTGTACAGTGTTAATCCTCATTCAGAACCTCGACATTAGTGGAATAAATTAGTGGTTTCAATTATACAGGGTGGTCCGAACTGTATTCCGGAAACTTCGGCAGCATATTCTGCAGATAAAAATAAGTAAAAAAGTTCGTATAAATGTATGTCCTAAAATGCTTAGTTATAGAGATACAGTGTGTAGAAGTTTCATTTTTATTTCGATTTTTTCTAAATAATTTCTGAAGTAACGACAATATTTGGATGAAAATTAGTGTTTGGGAGTTATTTGACATGAGAAATTTGATTTTGATGTCAATATGACTCCTACTAGTAGGGGGCGCCACCTACATGTGTTTTAACTGTTTTGAAGCGTAATAACTTTTTGTCCGTACTTATATAAAACTTCCGAGTGAAAAAATATACATCTCTGTGACTTTCTACGTAAAAAATATCTCTTTGTAAAAATCGCTACGAGCTTCCGTTCTTAAGATATTTAGAATGGAAATAGTCAATACATGTCATTATTGACAAAAAATAAACACGTTGAGTAGACAGTTATTGCACTGAAATAATAAACTTGGGAAATTTTTTTTTTTTTAAATTAATCATACATTTTTCTGCAAAAAATGATGATAAAACAGTTTCTGTTGAACTTTTGGCACGATAACATTTCAAATTTATAATTTCAGTCTACATATACATACATACATACAGCCGTTACTCGCTGACGAGTATTCGACACACATAAAGAAGATGGTCACGCAAGGAGTTTTCTTTCATGAGCTTTTCTGTGACTGAAAAGCCCGATACGTGAAGTTATCTGCCTACCGCACTCCGGACATTCAAAAATCTCATTGCTTTGTTGCCTCTTTACTTTTTGGTTACCGCTGTTAACTCAGTTTACAACCCTTCTCCATTGAATTCTATTGTGAGCTGCTTTTTTCCACTCATTCTGCATGTTAATTCCCTTTAAGTTTTCGTGGAAAATGTCCTTGTACCTTTTAAATTGTCCACCCGGCCTCCTCTTACCGTCTACAAGCTCACCGTAAAGCAGAGATTTTGGTATGCGGTTTTCTTGCATTCTGCATACGTGACCAGCCCATCTTAAGCGGGATTTTGTGACCATGACTTCAATACTCTCGCAGTTAGCTTTTTCAAGGACCGATACGTTTGAGACATGATGGAACCACCGGACTCTTAAGAGTGGTCTAAGGTGTCTCGGTTGCAACTTGTTTAATGCGTTCGTGTGTCGGCGGTACGGCACCCAGGTTTCGCTCCCATATAACATGGTGGGGATTATAATTGCTCGGTACACTGCAAGTTTTGTTTTTGTACTCAAGTCATGATTGTAGAAAACCCTGTCTTTTAATTTCCAGAATGCTCTTGAGGCGCTACTAATCCTGTGCTGAATTTCAGAGTCAATATTGGCCTTTTCCGAAATCAAACTTCCAAGGTAATTGAATTCCGCCACATATTCCAATAGTTCTCCTCCGATTTTTATAGCATTGTTGTGATCTTCCGGGGGAGTGCACATGATTTTAGTTTTGTTGATATTTAGCTTAAGGCCCAAAGCCTCGAATGCCCAAGTATGTGTTCAACATTTCTTGTAATTGTTGTACCGTGTTTGCAACTAGAGCGCAATTTCAGTCTAATAACTATTTAGTCAACATGTTTAATTTATGTCAATGACAGGTATTGATAATTTCGATTCCAAATATCTCGAAAACTGTTACTCGTAGCGATTTGTGCAAGAGACCTTTTTTACATAAAAAACGTCGTAAATATATATTTTTTTACTCAGTAGTTTTATACAGGTACGAACGAAAAGTTATTATACTTCAAACCAGTTAAAAAATATGTAAGTGGCGCCCTCTACTAATAGGAGTCTTATTGACATCAAAATCAAATTTCTCATGTCAAAAAGCTCCCAGACACCAATTTTGATCCAAATATTGACTTTACTTCAGAAATTATTCGGAAAAAATCGAAATAAAAATGAAATTTCTACACCCTTTATCTCCGAAACTAAGCATTTTAGAACATATATTTATACGAACTTTTTTACTTATTTTTATCTGCAGAATATGCTGCCGAAGTTTCCGGAATACAGTTCGGACCAGCTTGTATATTACATCACCTCAAAATGACATTACTCCCAAATTTTGAAGTATAATTAGTGGCAAAAGTTAAAAGTTTGTTAACTTTTTCCACTTACTGAAAATTACTACCACTAATTTTGACGTTCTGAATGCTTTAGATTTTAGATTCCTAATCTGAATGCTTACATTGAAATTAAATGAACAAACTTCTACGCTAATTAACCCACTAATTAATTCAACTTTGTCTATTTCGAAGTTCTGAATGAAGCTTTAGAATTTTATTTTATCCCACTTTCAACAGCCTACACTTTTTCAGCGAGAATATTTATTAACAAGAAATTACAGAGTTTTTAGCCCAGCTTTAATATCCATTACCAAATTTGTCATACGCCGTCAAATGTGAAAGTTGTTATAAAATATATTTTTTTAAATGGCACACCCTATATATCAGAAATATAAATGGATTCGGCTACTGCGAGTGAAACTCGACTAAGCTAAGAATATAGGTAACTAAACAAAAATAAGTTTCATTGGCCACAACGAATTGGGATTTCTGAAGTCGGAGTCTGAAGACTCCGACTTCAGAAATCCAAATTTACCTATGAATTCAAATGACAATCAACAACTCACTGTCAAGTATTCACTCATTAGACAGACTTTACACAGCTATAATGTGTCCAACGAAGAATCCCTGATATCTCTTTTACAAAAGACAGTTTATATTAATAACTCTAATTTGTAAAGGTGAGAAACAAACAACGCTTTATTGTACAAAAAGCCAAAACAGCTTCATCGACAAAGCACTGACAAAACAAACAAAAGCACAAAAAAAATACAAACAACAGAAAATACACAATACAACTAATACAATTCAAAAAAATTTAAGTCATTAAAATTACAAAAAGAATATACATGGACAATTGCAGAACAGTACGCAGTAAATAGATATAATTTTAGAGTTATAAAATATTAAATATTTGACCTTTGACCAGTGTGTGAGATGATCAAAATTTTAAAATTCAAAATTGTTCATAATCAACAAAAAAGTCGTTTACCGCATATAGGGCTCTCTCCAGTATGTATGATTTTAGAGCTTTGCGAAATGCGGAAAAGAATGAAAGCGACTTGATATTCAAAGGCAGATGATTGTACATTTTTTGGCATTGTACAGTATTGAACCTTTAACTAGTTCTGAGCTCGGGGTTGGCAGATAAAGATCGTGCTCCGCATTCCTAAGTGGATAGTTATGAGATGGCCTTTCGGGAATAGAAGATATGTGCTTGCGGATTAAGCAAACGGATTCAAAAATGAATAAAGAAGGAAGAGTCAGTATTTTGAAATTTTTAAAGAAATTCTTCAAGAGTTCTACTGTTCAGTCCCAATAAATATCGAACTGCTCTCTTTTGAAGTCTGAAAATACGATCAAATTTTGTTGCGCAGCAAGTACCCCAGAATGGAAGGGCATAACGAAGATGTGACTCAAAAAGGGCATAATAGGCTACTCTAGAGGTTGAGAAGTTAAGTTCCTTAGAAACTGATCTTAGCGCAAAACAGGCAGCGTTTAGTTTCTTTGATAGAGCTTCGATGTGAAAGTCCCATTTTAACAAGTTGTCTACAACAAGTCTTAAGAATTTCACAGAGTCCACGACGTCAATAGTGGTGTTATTAAGTACCAAAGGTTGTATAGTACTTTTATATGACAAAACTTTTTTTGATAGGTTGAGGCATAGGAGATTAGAATCGCACCAAGATTTAATGGCCGCTCCAAGTGAAACTAGTATCGTCCGCAAAGAGGCAGATTTTACCGCTAATGTCTAGATTTGCAATGTCGTTGATAAACACCAGAAACAAAATAGGACCAAGTACTGAACCCTGAGGGACACCACATTCTATAGGCTTACAAGAAGACATAGACGTATCAATCCTCACAAGCTGCCTTCTGTTGCCAAGATATGACTTAAGCCATTCGAGCGGCACTCCTCTGAAATCATAGTATTGCAATTTGTTAATTAAGATATTATGATTTACACAATCGAAAGCCTTAGAGAAATCACAGAAAATTGTAGCTGCAAAGTGATGGTTATTCAGGCTAGAGTATATATTATTAAAAAGGTCGAACACAGCATCATTTGTGCAACTGTTACTTAGAAATTCAAATTGATGGGTAGTAAGTATTTTATATTTAAGGAGAAAAGATAGAAACCTTTTTTTAACCAATCTTTCAATGATCTTAGATAATGTGGACAGGAGTGCAATTGGGCGATAGTTCGAAGCTTCATCTTTATCTCCTCCTTTATACAGAGGAATAATTATTGCTGTCTTAAGGCAGTTTGGAAAAACTCCTTTTTGGAACAACTCGTTAATTAAAGTAGTAAGATGGTTTAATGTGCATTCAGGAAGTTCAGAGAACATTTGAGAGTAAGTGAAGTAAGTAAGTTAAAAGTAAGTTTTAAGAGTAAGTGAAAAAAGTAAGAGAAAACGATATTTGAAGGTCTACATTGCTCCTTGCTCGTGATCCTGCCTGCACTTGTGACTGTGTTTGCATTTCTACCGCTCGTATATTGTCTTGTTTCTCAAGATCGTTCAGCTAGCAAGCAACACTGACTCTCTTTTCATTTGATTTTATATATTTTCAATATTTTCCGGAAAACACCAAGAAAAACATAAAATTTTCACTTTTTTTTCGCAAAAAAAACTCATGGGCGTGTTTCTGGGGTCGAATTATACCAGTTTAATAGTAAAGTATACCAGTAAAATATTCGCACTTATTTCTGGGACACCCTGTATGCATACGTGTACTAAACCGATCATTTATGAAATTCTCTTAAAATTAACTAATTAAACAGGGTGAGTCTTAAATAAGTGTAAATAATATTTTCAGGGCTAGTAGATCTCCATAAAAGAAACATATTTTCTCTTTACCGTTTTTCCAATAAGTCCAAGATAACCGAGATATTTTCTTTGAAAATTTAAAAAAATGTATATTTTTCTCTTAAGTTTTGAGAACCACTGGATTTTTTCTGGGTTTTCTTTCTTGTAAATTTAATTTACTCTCTATGTTGCCATATTATGAACATATTATGTTTTTAATTGAAAATTTTAAAAAATCCCAAAAAATGTTTTCAAAAAATTTCTTTTTCAAATTTTTTTTTTTGTGAAAAATCTCATAGTCGGGGCAAGAACGGTAAACTAATAGGATTGCTCATCCTCATAAGACGTACGTTCGCCTCTTCCCGCGCTTCAGCTGACAGTTGTGACGTCATTGTAGTCCTTGTCATGATAGTGTGTATTATTGGTTGCCTATGGTAAACTTATATAAATAACAGCTGAGAAATTTTGAGTTAATTATTTTGTCGATTTTAAATGTGAAAAAGATATTTTTAAAGTTTTTAGAGCGATAGAGTGTATAAATCCTTCCATTTTGTGTTGTGGATTGTGACTAAGTGCTTACTAAGTGCCAACGATATTGTTTATTAATTATTTTAAAGCAAAATATGGAAGTACTCTAAAAAGAATGTCTGCAAAATGTGATGCTGGTAACTGTTGTTAAAAATGCATTATCCGAGTATTTAATACGATTTATACAGTTAATTTTCTATACTGCATACATATGGGGTGTTTAAATAAATAAACTAAATAATGAATGTTTTGCATACGGCAACCAATAATACACACACTATCATGACAAGGACTACAATGACGTCACAAAGCGAGGAGTTTTCGCATGCACCTGGCAGACACTTTCGGCTGAATGAGCAGTAGTAGGTTAACTGTTCTTGTTTCTGGGGTATATACTACCCCTAAAAATATTTGCACTTATTTAAGACTCACCCTGTATATTTGCATTTTTGCTTTAATTTACTACATACTTGTCAAGGATTACATGTCAAAGAATTTAGTTACGTCAATTTGACTGCTTCAGTAACGTATCGGATGTTTATATTATAAAATTATATAACTTATCTATTTTTATTAGAATTATATATTTTTATAACAATTTTAATAACTACCAACATTTATTAACAACGTAAAATAAATCAACAAATTATTGAGTCTACCCTACTTCATATTTTAACACGTTTTGAATAAAATTAGAGCGGCACTGTTAAACCGGAATTTAAGTATACTCTATCATTTAGGCGAATTAAAAAAGTGAAAAAACTGAATTTTCTATAACATTTATATAATTAAGATTTCTCTTGGGTGCTATAATCTTTAAGGTGAAATTTTACTTTACCTGCTTCACCCTGCGAGCTGCTACACATTAATTGGCTATAAACCCTATAATTTATTTATTTAATGAATGTACTAGATCAATAAATAAATAAGTTAAAATCTGTGAAAAGTAGTCCAACATAAAATGCTAATACTGTACATCAATACCAATCTGAAAAATAGGATTTATTTTTCAGATTGATATCGATTAAATCAACGAGAAATTAGAAATTCTTACTTTATTTTAATATTTTTGGACAAAGGAAAACTTACAGAGAAACTATAAGCTTATTTCCACAAGGATGAGATGACCATAATCGATCTTCATCGGCACGCCTTTCTCCTAGAACTAATTCGGCAAGAGTCCAAGCTTGAACTAAATCTTTTCTTCCGACTACAGCAGCTGCACCAGCATTATACTGAAATATAACATACATTAGAAAAAAAAATGTGGCTTGGAAATCGATTATTTTATACCGTGCTGGCAACTGTTACTTTTGGGTCGGTATTTACATGTGTGGAAGTAAATCCCATAGGGATCTTATTAAGTCAGAGTGAGAGAAATGCGACGGTGTACTGTTGCGGCGTTGCCGGTACGCCTTTCCCTATCAAGTAAAGTAAAATCACGATGGCAAACCACTTATTTTTAAACGGCTTTTTTTTCCAAAAGATAACTAGATACAATCATTAGATATGTTTCTGAGCATCTTAAATGGAATTATAAGGATATCGTTAGGGTGTCCATTTTTTATAACGATAGTAATCGCGATAATTTAAAAACTCAACTTTTTAACACATAACACGCCACTTCAGAACCACTTTCGACATTGAAACTTATTTTTTTATTTTGAAGATCGGATCTTTTGCAATATGTTTAAATAAGAAAAATTCGATAAGGTTGTTTTTTTCTATTCAAAAATTTTCAACAACCCATCCATTTACTTTTAGTGCATAGCAATTTTCAGCAGTCGTGTAACTTATTTATTTATAAAGATTTCCACATACTAAGATTTCCACATACTAAGATTTCCACATACTGTCTGCGGAAAATATACAGCAGATATGTTAAGAAAGTTTTTGAAAAAATTATAATCAATTATTTTTAATAGATTTCGAGATATCGATTTTTGAATTTAGAGTTCTAATAGCGCGACCACTGTCGAACACCAACTCAATTCCACTTGTTTTTACCAAAAGTGCAAGTGTTTCTAACTTGTACTTAAAAATTTACAAGCTATAGGAAAAATTATAACGACTCGTTAATAAATAAACAAATAAAGTATTACGAGACGTAATTAAATCGTGAAGCTGAACGCATGATGTTCACCTTTTCCTAGAACTTTAAGTACTGACAGAGGTAGTGATTGGGTCGACCGGTCGACCGCCAAAAATCTGCTATATCCCCTTCCACATCTCTTAGCAATGTGCACAGTTTCTCGGTTTATTTCATACGTTTGGCAACGTGTTTACTATTCTCTCTTTGTTCAGTACATTATAAACGGATTGTACTCTTCTTACATACGAATATCTCGACCCAAGACTAACGTTTGCTAGCTCTTAGAATGTAATATATATGGGGGATGTCATCGATAGTCATTTCCAATCAACTGATCGACGTTTTTCACTATAATATCCTTTTTTGACAATTTATGTATCCATATATCGACAGCTATATATCATAAGATCCAACAATAAGATCCAACAAACTCTATATTTTTATTACCTTGCATATTGTAGCAATATCACCCTCTAAGATATAATCTTCTGCTAACTGCTTATTGATCAAAAACAAATTAGTAGCGTCATAAATATGAACTATCGCTTTAGAAGATTTTGCTAGTGATTGCTTAGTTCTATACCTAAAATGTAAAATAATTTTATGTTTAAAGCATTCTGTATCAAAATGATTAGTACAGAATATTCTGAATTTACTGAGCAACTTAAGATGAAGAAGGTGAGCAAAAATTGTTAACTTATAGAGAGCTACAATATTATACGTTTTTTTGGCTTTATTTTTCTTTTTGTTTGACTTTAAGAAATATTTTTATCCAGCATAGAATTAAAAATATGACGACGATTAAAATAGTTACTTATGTATCAAGGGAATTATAAGAGTTGTTAATTACCGAGGGCAAAGTTTCTGTCCCGAGGGCCGATGGCCCGAAGGACAATAAATACCCGAAGTCATTAACATTTTAGAATTCAAGTAGTACATAGATAATTCTTTTTTCAAATGTCACTAAAGTATTAATTTTTTTAACATCTACACAAAAAAGTAAAGCATTTTCACGTCTAAGCATAAAAGTACGAACATATTTGTTATTAAATTGATATAAAGTGTCAAATTCAACGAGTTTAACCATAGTTTCTCGAAATATAACGTCTCCTCGCCTGTATGACGAGGCTGTCAACACGTACAGCTTCTCTAATCTCCTCTTCGCTTCGGCTAGTTTGATTCAGCTACCCACTGGTATGAATTGCGTGTGACGTCAGCAGCACCAGCCGCACTGACCGAAAATCATTCTGGCCCAACAATGCTGGCCGCATTTTCATCGATGCGATTCGTGCGGATCTGGCTAGTGTGCGCACCTTCATTGAAAGTAACACAAACAATATTTTTCTTTGGTCGATGCGGCGCGTGCGGCTCTGGTCAGTGTGCGCGTAGCTTAAAAGACCATACCATAACGTGGTATACTGATGCTTCCAAAACCAAAGCAGGGGCAGAGATAGGAGTATTTGGGCCAAAAACTAAATACTCTGAATCAATGGGCTTCTACCCCAGCATTCTTCAGGCAGAAATTTACGCTATCGAAAGATGCGTGCAATTTATCTTAGCTAGGAACTATCGAAAACAGGAAATAGCCATCTTATCCAATAGTCAAGCGGCACTAGTCGCGATCAACTCAGTAACCGTATTCGAAGTTGGTCAGGGAATAGAGAAGCTGAACAAATTAGGCTAAGAAAATAAAGTCCACCTACTCTGGGTCCAAGCACGTTCAATTTTTCGAAACCCTTTGTTTAGCCAGTTGCTGCAAAGTGTGCATCAATTGAGAGCTTACTGAATCGTTAAACTGGACCCGAACCGTTCTGTTTTCCAAGTTGAAATCAACAAAAGGCGGAACTGAGGAACCTGGAAGACTCCATCCAACGGTCTGAGACACTCAAAAAAGCTCCTCAGAACTTACGACCGAGAAAAATCAAAGATTTTGCTTGATCTAAGTAAAAACAATCTTCGGATTGCCACGGGGTATTCTTACAGGACACTGTCTCCTCAACGAACACCTCAGTAGGCTGATGTACCTCAGTACGGCTGATGTCGAGGACAGAGAACTGGCCTCTGTGGAGCCGTCTCGGATACTGGCTTTTGTTAAAGTCCTGAGACTGTATAATGACTTATAACTCGTTATAACTCAAGAAAGAGGAACACACCATAGATCTGCAAGGTCGCTATGATTAACTCCCCTCCTAAACATTCTACATTCTAGAGGGAAATATGGTATCTCAATTCCGTTTTATAATGTCCCAAGGAAGCTATGACACTATTTATAGTTAGCGCAACCAAGACGATATAAGCGTATATTAATCTTTAATACTAATTCAGTAAGAAATAAAAAATAACCTATTAATATCCGCAGGAAGACCGAGAGCCAGGTGACTGAGTTCTGTAGAGGCGTTCGTATGAACGCCTCTACAGAACTCAAAAGTAAATAGTTTTAAGTTGATTTTTTTAACTCAAAGTCAGTAAAATTCGAATAAAATGTCAATAAAATAAGGTTAAATAAAACTAACTTACTTTAGTTTCTGTTTTTGAAAATAATAGGCAGAAACCGTCATATAATCGGTGGACCGCTTTGCTAACATCCCCTCCAGGGCAGACAGGGCTCTTGGCGTACTGGTCGATTCGTTCTTATTTCCCAACCTTCTGGTAATACTCGGCCTCCCGAAACACACCAAAGCGTTTACAGAACAGAATTTTGCCCCGGACGTTCTCGGAAATGGGATGTACGCATCATTGTGATCGACGTTACTGGGCTCCGCGTATCTCTCGTAAGCTCGATCGCTATCCATATCGCTCGATAGCTGCTCTAGGGTGGTAACCATTTGTCTTAGGCAAGGCTCCAAGCACGTTCGATTTTTCGAAACCCTTTGTTGAGCCAGATGCTTCAAAGTGTGCATCAGTTGCGAGCTTACTGAATCGTTCACGTTGGAACCCGACATTATTTGGAAAACGGGTGGTACGCCATGCGGATAACTGCTAGGGAACGTAACTTGCAGATTAACGGTGAAATTGTTAACCTTCGACGTTACATTTACTGTCCTCGTATTGACGTTCATATTTTTAACTTCCAGATTTATTATGTGTACGTTGAGCAGGGAGAATTCTTGTTGGAGGACTGGAATCTTCGGCAAGTTTTGTTTTTCTTCTGCACCTAAAAATTAAATATAAGTATGTAGTTTTTTGATACCCTTTTTTAAATTAATTCAAATTCAAATTCAAATTCATTTGTTGGTGTTGCCATACAATAGTATTTACACAGGTCACATTACACAGGATAATAAAGAAATAAAAAATCAAGCTTAAAAACATAAATAAGTTACTAGTACTAAGTTAAAAAATAGTTGTATATTGACATTAAAACACTAAATAGAATAATGGCATCAATAATTAACCTAAAAACACTAAAATCTAATATTTAAAAATTCCTGGAAGGGATAACAGGAATACCGCATCAGCAGGCCCTTAACCTCAGTCTTAAACCGCAAGAGGGGCATGTCCGCAATTTCCTTGGGTAATTTATTATAGAATTTAACTGCCAGGTACCCAGGTCCATCTTGGCACCTAGTCAATCGGTGGTAGATTGGCACAAGCCTATCCCTACCCCTTGTCTCATGGTGATGGACTTCTCCATGGACCCTATAAAGGTCTCGGTTCTTTTTTACATAAAGGAGATTTTCCATTATATACACTGACGGGACAGTCAACACACCCACAGCCCTGAATGCCTCTCCACAGTCGGCCCGATAGCCAAGGCCAGCCAAGACTCGGACAGCCGCCCTTTGCAAGCCGAAGATCCTCTTTAGTTGGGCTGTATGTCCCCAGGCGAGAATAGCATAGGACAAAATCGAGTGGAACAAAGCAAAGTATGCAGTCCTCAGTACAGGCCCGGAAACACTTCCTGAAAGGCGACGCAGAGCAAACAATCCCCTTCTAAGCCTAGACGCAACCCGATCAACATGCTCATGCCACCGAAGCAGAGAATCAATCTGCACTCCCAGAAACCTAATACTCTGGACATCTGCGTTTGTTGTTTCTAAGTCCCTAAGAAATCAAAGTCCAATTCGCAACCATCCTATTCGTTTTGTCAGGATTCAGGAGCAACCTATTGGCACAAAAACATGCCTCAACATGGCCCCGTACTACCTCACTCCCCTCCATGGCACCCTCCAATGAGTCAGATGAGAAGGCCACTGTTGTGTCATCAGCGAAAAGTGTAAATTTAGATGTTGAGTCTATATATGGTAAGTCGTTGATATATATCAAAAATAGAATTGGTCCGAGCACTGAGCCCTGGGGCACTCCAATATTAACATGACTCATCGCTGATGACTCCCCACTGACCCTCACAACCTGAACTCTAGAAGTAAGATAGGAACGCATGAAATTAATACTATCCAGACTAAAATTGTACCTTTCAAGCTTCCGTAACAGTATGTCATGTGGTACACAATCGAATGCCTTAGTCACATCGCAAAATAAGGCCCCTGTAAAGTCAAGACTATGGTGGGTTCATACAGCCAAATAAAATAAAATAAGAATAAAATAAAATAAAATAAGAAAGTTGGTTATATGGGATACCGTACATGCGTTCATACAGCCAAATAAAATAACAAATAAAATAAGAAGTCTTTATCTTTTAACTTCTTGTTTTATTTTATGTGAAAACGGCTTTGCGCACGCTTAATTCTAACCTACAAATATTTTCAGTTTGGATTTAATTTATTTTATAATTTCACATAAGTAAAATGTATAATATAGTAGGCAACGAATAAATAAATATACTATAAATAGTAAAATTACTATAAACAATCGTAAAAGTTAACTTTTATCCAGCCTCATCGTACTGCGCATGAGCAAATATATATTTCTTATTTTATTTTATTTGACTGTATGAACGCACACAAATAAGAATTCCTTATTTCTTATTTTATTTTATTCTTATTTTATTTTATTTGGCTGTATGAACCCACCATATCAAAAGACTCCAGAACACAAGACACAAGGTCCAGGATACCAAGAACCGTATTCCTATTTTTTCTGAAGCCAAAGTGGCACAGTGTAAAGAGATTATTGCTCTCGAAGAAATGCGTTAACCTGGAAGCAATACACTTCTCAAAGATCTTTGAGATGATAGGCAGTAGAGAGATGGGCCTATAATTACCAGGATCTTCAGGGTTGCCTCTTTTAAAAACAGGCGTTATTTGGGCAATCTTCAGTGCATCTGGAAAAGTGTTTTCTCTGAAACTCTGATTAATAAGTTTAGTTAGAGGACCTATTAGTTAGTTTTTGACCGACTTGATGAGCTTTACATTTAATCCAAACACATTAGAGTTATGCTTATTTTTCAGACCGTCAATAACATCTCTGCTCTCAACAGGTGATACGCCAGAGAAAAAGAATGGGGTCTCACTGACAGCAAAATCATGCACGAACTCAAGAGGATCAACCTGAGATGGTGGTATTAATTCTACTATATCATGAGCAATATTGGTGAAGTAGGTGTTAAATGTATTCGCTATTATATCACATTTTTAATGCAAATTAGTTAAAAAAGGCCCATCGGTGTAAAAGATTCCAAGAGTTTTAAAAATTGTTTTAAACGGTTCCTCTAGAATTGGTCTGATATGTGTCAAAACGGTCAAAGTTGTCAAGATAGAAGGTGAGCTCGCGAAAGGGAAAGGGTTAAATATGTACGTACTTTTTTAACTTTTTCGCTTATATCTCGAAAATTATGAAACCATCTATAAACGTCTATGTCTTAAAAATATGTAGGTGGCGCCCTCTACAAGTGGGAGTCAGATTGATGTCAAAATCAAATTTCTCATGTCAAAAAACTCCCAGACAGCAACTTTCATCCAAATATTGACGTTACTTCAGAAATTATTTGGAAAAAATCGAAATACAAATGAAACTTCTCCACCCTGTATCTCAGAAACTAATAATTTTAGGATATACATTTATACAAACTTTTTTACTTTACTCTACTATCTGCAGAATATGTTGCCGAAGCTTCCGGAATACAGTTCGGATCACCCTGTATATTCTGTGGTAGAAGCTGCTGAGGAAGAAATGGAAGAAGATATCGATTTCAAAGTAATAGACTTGACTCAATTAACGAAAAAGAAAGAAGAACCAGATGACGAGATTGAGGATGATTTACTATTATCTACTCAATTAGTGTAGTATTATAACATATATAGGCCACTCTGACTCTGACTAGTTTAAAAAACGTCCTTTTTTTGTAATGTTTTTACAGTTTTTAAATAAAAAGATAATATTATTTAAAAAGCTGTTTTTTTAAATTAATTTGTTTTTTAAATTAATGTTATCTTAACGTTATAGTCTATAAAATAAATAACTTTGAATTTTGACCGTTATCTTTTACAAACACGGTAAATATAAAATTCCTCTGTCAAAAAAGTTACTGATATTCTTTAAATTGAGTGCCTGAACGAATCAGATAGGTAACTCTTTTTACTTTCGTGAAATAGAAAAGGAAAATAATAAAACAAGTGACAGTTCTTCCTCTTCTTACAAAAATCAACACGAAATGTCATAATTGTCAAAAGTAAAATGTCATCAGCTTTTGACATTTCTAAATATCAGACAACAAAGAAAAAAGCATGGCCGCAAGTTGCTAACACTAGAAAAGCCCGCGAGAACTGTCAAATTCAAAGTTATTCGTTTCACAGATTATACGTAGTATTACCGGTAATATTACCGATTTATAAATTATCGGTCATTTTACATCACTAATCCTACCTGAACTAGTATCTTCATAATCGATAAGTTCATCGGGTTCGTGTCCACACAGTTTTTGCAAGAACGGTTCTATGGTCCAAACCAAAAGAGTCTGATCTTTCGACCAAGTAATTAACTCGAAATTAGGACCGTTTTGTCTCCCGGGTCTCCATTCAAATTCCAAAACCACATCTCGATGTCCCACAAAAGTGTGCATAGGTGTGGCTTTATTCCCGATATTCCACAGAAGTAGATTATTTTCGCCTCGCCGTATTTGCGGTACAACTACAGTGACAAGTCCATTTCCGAAAGGCGTATATCTGAAAACAAAATAAAATGAGGTTTTCAAATAATATTAATAGAATAAATGGCTTTATTGATAATAAAGAGATAAAATACATAGAGGGTATTTCAAAAAACTTGTGCCATCTCTCTTTGAGAGATATTTCACGTAAAAATAAGATTTATTTTTCATATCAACGTGGGTCCGATTCTGCTTTGTTTCATAGTTACAGGGACAGTCTTCATTTTTTTTTTCGATTTGTTATAATTTTCTTCCAAGTGCTTTTAGCGATCTGAAATCTATGAATGAAATTTAGAGGGTAAAAGTTATTATGAGTGCTACATATTTCAATGCTAAAAAAGTGGAAATTAAACTGGAATATTTTACTAAAAAAATATGTGCGCCACTGATATATACGTCTCTGGTGAATATGTCGACACTTTTTTAGCGTTAAAATATGTCGCACTTTTATAGTAATTTTTACCCTCAAAATGGCATTCGAAAATTATAGTAAATCAAAAAAGATGAAGATTTTAACCCCCTGTAGCTACGAAACAAAGCAGAATCGGACCTATGATAATATGAAAAGTAAATTTTATTTTTACGAGAGGAATCTCCCCACAAGAGATGGCACATGTTATTTGAAACACCCTGTATAATAAATGACAGCGAGAACTAGCAAAAGCTATTCTAATCTAACCGTCCATGTATCGGATCCCATTAAGAATGGCTCTGGGCTGTATCTTCTGAATGTATTTTAGCCGTAGAGGCTGCGGAAAAAATATTTATCACCAAAGAGGCCATAAGAAATTACTGGAAATTATTTTCAGAATGTAATATATAATAAGTTTCTAGAATTGCCACTATAAGGCTTAACTGCAATGGTAGATAAGAGAATACTTAAGGACACGGGTAAGGAGTAGAGTGGTCGCAACTAAAGGAGTCACAAGCGTCTTCAATATTTTGTCGGTGAACGCCTTCTCGACGTTAGACTGTGCTGTGTGCCGAGCAAAATAATTCGAAATATTGTTATAGCGTAAAAAATCTCAGCTGGCACTCATGAATCACCGAACCGTCCAATCACAAACAAGGTGCGGTCGCTATGCAGTCGCAGCTATTAATGACGTTCCTGGCTCCTTCTTTGGTTGCGACCACTCTTCTATAAATAATGGTGTTATAATCTTCAGCAAATTTCATATTTTCAGCTATTTTTTAGACTATTTTTGTCTCTTTCTTACATCTTTAATTTTTACATTAAGATATCTTGGGATCTACATCATTTTCCGACTTTAAAATCCAATCTAAGAATTTAGGATTACCACGCCTGTATGTATGGGGATACGCAAAAACTAAAGTCTGTCCAATGGGTCAGGGAAGATTTCGACAGGTGACGTCCACAAAATTACATAAAGTGCAATTTACCTGTGAAATAAAATAACAGACAACTGTCATTGTCATGTATCTTTTCTTTGGGCAGAGTTTAGTTTGGACTACGTTTCAGTTCCCAAGTGGAAACCAACTCAAAACGGAACTCAAAAACCAGGAAGACTCCATCAGTAACCTGTAATGGGAATCCTCCAACACTCGAAGAAATTTCTCAGAACTTACGACTAAGTAAACCTAACCGAAAAAAATCAAACATTTTTCTTGATTTAAGTAAGAACAATCTTCGGATTGTCACGGTTTTTTAAAAGGACACTTGTTACATTCACAAGTACATGTGAATGGTACTAAGCTCTATAGTGATGTTCGTCTTTAATTTTATGCTGGTGAAGGCCTCCTTAGACTTAGACAGTAATGCGCAAAATGATTTAAAAATATTATTTTATGATAAAAGTATAGACATTATTTATAGGCTGAAGATATTTACCTTGCCCTCCAGACTGGTGCGTTTGTATTTAAAACGAATTCAGCTTTTCTCGGATTTGATGTATCAAAAAACTTTACAGTACTATCTTGGCTTGATGAAGCAATTTGAACCTCACGATTGGGATTCCAATCTAATCCATATATTTTACCCACATGTGCTGCTATATATTGAATGGGCGCTGTCCCTTTCCTTTGATCCCAAACCTTAATATCCCCTAACACAAAAAAAACACTTTTAATATTTTAATTGTTCTTATGAATTAGTTACAATAAAAAGTTAATAAAAAAACGAATCGGACGATATAGAATATTTTTATTATTATGAATAACCATTAATATTCATAAAATCTTGTTAAGGTAGGATGTTTTACTTTCCGACACTGCGATATGCGACAACGACGTGCGACGCTGCGGTGTGCCGTAAATTTAATCTAGCACTAATCAAATTAGTATGTAGTTTAACCTATCGACTTGCGGCAGCGACATGGCGGCATCGCAGATGTCGCTGCGGCACGTCGTCGAGAAAAATAAAATATTTTCTGAACGACATCGCAGCTAGTACTTTTGTAGCATCCACCGCATCGGCGCGGCCGCGGCGTCGGTCTATTTGGAATTTTTGGCGGTTAATATTTGTTTTTTTTTTCTGCCATGTCATAAACATGGGATGATGACTTCGCCGAACATTTAGTAGATTGTGTACGTACATTTCCAGTTCTCTGGGAGATGAAAAGAAACTCATATAAGGATAAGGTGGCCAAAGACAAAGCATGGAAATATATCTCGGAGTATATGTCAGAATGTTTCTGGAAAGGTTCAGGAGCGTGAAGTAGTAGAGTAGAGCTAAATTTTCTTCTTCTTCGTCAAAAGAACCGCAGCAATATTACGACGAATAGCGTTCATCTTAATAAACTGCACTGCTTCGAACGACTTGCTGAACTGAAGTGTCGCATGGTAAGGAAACACGTTTGTCGCAAACCCGCAATCCGCGTCGCCACAGTTTATCGCATGTCGTTATCGCATGTGGCAGTGTCGAAAAGTAAAACATCCTACCTTTACTTGTATTCTTATTTTTCCAATTTAAAAAAAAATAATCAAAATATAACATCACAAATTCAGAGTAGTACTCCTCCGACATCACTTACGCTTCGTCCTACGTGGGAGACAAAAACGCGCGATTCGGGCGGTGCGAGCGACGAGTATTTAACAAACAAGGTTTTCTTACGAAGCTGTCCTAGGTAGGAGACGCGCGCGACTGTCGCGCGACTGAAGCGGCATCGCAGGCGATTGAAATATGTCGCGCGAGTCGAGCTCATCGCCCTCTGTTGTCGCACGCCTCGCCCGCTCGCTTTTGTCTCCCACGTAGGACGAAGCGTTAGGCAGAATACCGCATATTGCCAGAGGGCAAACAAATTTTGGCAGTGATCACTGCTCCACAACAGACTTGTGTCACTATATTCTAGGGCTGTAACGAGCCCTGTTTTTTAACTTGACCGAGTACCGAGTACTCGGCTAAAGGTAATGGCCGAGTACCTAGTACTCGGCTGCCGAGTAGTGGAATTGTCGGGTTTTTAATAGTCTTAACAGTTATGCGACCTTTATCAATACTAATTATACTATACACCATAACATAATAATATTATATTTCATACATAATATAAATATAAATATATAATTTAACATTAAAGAAAGCTAGTTAAAATTCCCGGAATTCCCCGGCCTTAACCAATGATCTTGTTTTTTTGCCTATGATTGGCAAGCGGTTAGGATTCCCCGACTACAAACCAATGACCTGGTTTGTTTTACTTATGGAGATATTGTTTTATTCTGTGGTTCCCCATTCAAACTGATATTTCTAATGTGCTGGATTCTGAATTGATTCTTTAAGCGGTGGCGACGTTGATTTTGTTTTAAACAAATCTTATATGTGTAACTAATTTAAAAGTGAAAAATAATTAAAACAATTAATAATACCCTTTAAAGTTATATTAAAATGAGTGACAGTGCTGACCTCTTTTAGATTATAAGTATTAAATTATTATTTCACTGTGTTTGTGTTATTACTTATACTTATACTTTGCTAAAATACATTAATTAAAGTTATGAATGAATAACTTTTTGTTTATTTTATTATTTGCCACTGTGTGAGTCTCATTTCTATCTGTTTTGGACATGCATAAATGGATTGTTTCTACTACTATATTTTACTCGGCCGAGTAAGGCCGAGCACCGAGTACATATTACTCGGTTAAAATTCTGGCCGAGCACCGAACTACTCGGTACTCGGTGCAGCCCCTACTATATTCTATTTTTATGATTTTTTAACATTTTTGGATACAACTTATAATAATAGCATAGTTAAAACTTCAAAACAAAATCTCTTAGCCCACGGCCACACAGATTTGTGTTTTTTTTGCTTTGAATAAAAAGATTAAGGAAGGAGCATAATGCTATCCATGTATTCACGCATGGTGGGCGGAAAAAGGACTCTAGGGTGGGGATCCTTGACAGTTCTGTTTGACGATTCATTTGACACATTTGAATTTGATTTGAAATTTTGTGGATTTGTCAGTCTTTACGGAGCTTATTTTATGTTATTTATTATTTATTCCACTACTGATAGTTGTATAAAGGTAGTAAATCTAGATGGAAATTGTGGCAGAACTTAAATTAACAGTGTGCGCGTTCAGGGAACACAGCGGCTGACCGACCGCTGACTGTTCGCTGATCAGCTTACTCGCTTACTCAGCCACTCAGCCGCTGACCGTCCCTGAACGCGCCCAGTGACACTATTGCGATTTATCGACTTCCTGTTTCACCGGAAATAACTACCACTTTTTTAACCAAACCATTTTTTTAAATGGAACTCTTGGTATATTTCTACTTTATTTGATGGAAACTGACATTCTGAATAGAATGACATATGATATGTCAATTTTTGACATTTTCGCATATAGTTTATTTAAAATTGTAACATGCAGTTCATTACAACAACATGATTCAAAATATATATTTAGTTTTTTATATAGTTTTATACCTTTTACTATCGATAGTTGCGCCCCGGTGGTACGAAAGTACTACCATTGCACGCAGGCCGCTATCTCCCGTTCGGGACTTAATATCCAACCGACATTTTCTGACAAGTCGGAATTAACTATCTCTGCGCTGTGGTTGTCATTTTGTGGATACGCCTAAGCTCACCTGATGATGGAGTAGGGTTCCGAAACCGGTAGTGAGAGCAGGTTGATCCACATTATGACAAACACAGAATTAAATTTCTATATAAGCAGTTAAGTGGCAAGAATCCTTATATAATTTTATTATATACCTATACTGCAAAAAATTTGTTTTCTATCTTGCTTATAATAACATACTGAATAGTTCCATCTTCGATCAGTGTTTGCTGACTGGGAAAATAAGTACCGAAAACCTACACTGCCTCTTAGACTAGTATAGAAATAATATTTGATTGAGGCTACTAAAGGTGGTAAGATATTAATAGTAAGTAATGTCGTAAATAATGTCCTATAGATATAGAAGATTTTTGAAGTACCTTTTTAAATTAGTGAAAAATATAAAATTTAATTTACTGTTTATACCTTAGTGGTACCCTTGATGTACCTTTGCATCAAGGGCCTTGATGCAAACTATTTTCATTATGAAGATATATTTTGATTATAAGAAGTATAAAAATAATAACACATATAAATGGTCAAATTCATTTCTGAATAAAATAAACTTAAAAATAGAATACTTAATTATACCTTCATGGGCTGTTGCAATAGTATATTCAGATATCCGATTCCATCTGACTTGGGATGCTTCAGCCACTGCCGAAAGAGATAATGTAGGCTTCCTAGCATCTCTAATATCCCATAAATGAATAAATGTATCTGCTGAACAAGATGCTAAAAGACTTGGATTTGATCTATGCCAGTTAATATCAGTAATGACACGAGTGTGAGCACGCAATGAAGATGTTCCCGATAGTGACTCATTTCTCCAGCTAAGAACTTCAAGCCTCTCATTACTCTAGACAAATTATATGAATACTTAATTAAAATATATCTGTTTCATATCCACTTACAGATATAACACATATTTCTTTGTTATGTGATGTAGGATTCCATTCAGCGGCGCCAACATCATATTTACTTTGTCTAGGAAATTTTATAATATTTTCATATTCTTCATCGAGGTTTCTTAAAGCTATACACCTGCGTCTGAAAACATATCATGAAATATTTCTTTGAATGTGGTAGATAATGATTCAATATTGATACTAATTAAAAATTGGACTTCAGTCTGATTGAAACATTGAATAAGTTGAAGCAAATAAAAAACAATAATAAGTTCAAAATTCTTTTAGTGTCATATCATCAAATACTATTTTATAGTTGTTCTAAGGTACAATAAAAAAAGCTTTACCCTGCCAATAAAACAAAAGTGCCTGTGGAATCGATGGACATAGCATTTGCCTGCAAATCTTTACATTCCAATGCAACATAATAATCATTATTCATTCCTCCAGACATTTCTAAATTTATATACTTTACAATTCAATTCTACAAGAAAATGTATGTAAAATATACACATATTACATAAGTCTGATCATTGTTGATAGATTATCAAAACTATGGTTGATTACCTTTATAAGCTACATTATAAAATAAATAAATACCTTTTTAAATGTCCTATATGGTCCTGTAAGAACAGGTATTAAACCCAACATCCGTGCCCAACATCATAAAAACAAACAAGTCCCAGAGACCCATATAATTACTCCTTTATCTATGCCTATAATATATGCTCATCTATTTCAGATATTTGTAATTATTATTTAACTTATGCCAGTTTATGGAATATGGAATTATCCTGACAGATAGACCAGACATTAATAGGAGGGTGCAGCCACACTACCCTAAAAACAGCGTATCGGCGTAACGGCGTAATGACCTTGAATCGATTTCCAGTAATTCTATTGGCTAAAATTTTTGACAGATGAATTTGACAGATAAAATTTCTGACAGATGAATGTTTTAGCCAATAGAATTACTGGAAATCCATTCAAGGTCATTACGCCCGTTACGCCGATACGCCGTTTTTAGGATCAGTGTTGCCGAAGTGGCCCAATTGGGTCACATGTGGCTCTTTTCGGCATAAAAATACTCGGTGGCTCCTCGTTGCAAAATGTGGCTCTTTCCGCTCTTTGCAAATAATAATATTATAATAATTCCTTTTTCTTCATAGATCATAAATTTATACATAATATCATCTCATTTTAAATTGTTTAGTCATTAAAATAAACGAATCGTTGTATCGATTATTTGATCCCTCCCTATATTGTAGTATCTGGTTGCTGCGTTCGTGTTGGCGTTTGACGTTTGACGTTTGATACGATTTTGGTGGTTTTGAACATTGTTAGGTTATGTTCAGTGTTCAGTTTAAATTTTTAACCGTTATACCTCTTATCAATAAAAATCAATAGATATCAATAAATTAATTATTATCAAAAGTCTTTACTATCAATAATTCTATTCCTTACGTATGATCAAAAGTACATAATATACAAAGATGGATAAGTAAGTATCTGGTTTTTAAAAAATACGTCATAATATACCATCATAATATACCGTCATATCCTACTCATTATGCCAACCAGTCATTCACACAGTCACCATATACCCATCTTTGTTTAACTCTCTTATCTCTCAGCATAGGCATGCATGGCCAGCGACAAATATCGATTTTTAAGTTCTAATGCTAACCTAAATTTTTAATTAAAATGCACAATTAAGCTCAGTCAAAGTATTAAGTTTTTGTTTTATTATTGTGTATATTATTGTGTTATATTTATTATTTTGTATATTTTTGTTTTATTTATTAAATTTTAACTTGATTAATAATGTGCCTCACTTGCATGCAAATGTGGCTCGTTTTTTCAATATTGTGTGGCTCGGAAAAAAATTGTCTATCGGCAACACTGTTTAGGATAGTGTGGCTGCACCCCAGGGTTCGGAAGTAGTTAATTAAGACGTAATTTACCTGATTAACTACGTGTAGTTTTTCTTCAAAAACTACGTCTTTTCCCATTCATTAACTACATGAAAACTACGTTAATAAACTATGTATTGATATTATGAATAATTTTCCTTTGTATGAGGTGTAATAGAGATAATATGATGTAAATATTATATTTTAAAGCCATATTTCTCCTGTTTTCTTAAATACATTATGTGTTTTTAAAGCTTCAACTTATTATAACCTCACCTCAAACCTTTGACATTTGAAAGTTACATACATAGGTTACATAAACTACACCCTCTACATAAACTACATTAACTACATGTAATGTAGTTTATGTAGTTTTTAAAAGTAACGTGTAGTTTTCCGAACCCTGCTGCACCCTGAATAGGACTAATGTGAAGCATGTAGACAACAGACCATAGAGTATAGAGTTAAAAATTACGAAAAACTATAGAAAAGTAAAACTTGTCCGTAATATTGACTGGAACCAGACTCTGTACTTTGTAAAAAGATAATAATGAGATAATACTACCCGAAAGCACACAGCTGACTGCTGGCTGACTGAGCTGACCATGAGCTGACCACAACACACCATAAACTTGTGCCATACATAAACCATAAACCATCCATCAACACACAACACAGATCGTTCTTATTGGTGGGCTCAGAACACAGACACATCAGATTATCTCTGGGATTATCAGATATAAATGCAAAGGACAAAAATGTCATTTCATTTAGCTCTGTTGCTCACATAGAAGTTAAAAATAAAAGTTGCTCATCTGTTGCTCGTTGACAAAGTCGTTGCTCTGTTCATGTGTTCATAAGTTCATAGATAATAGCAGGGTAATAGATGCGTCATCATTTATGTTCTGTGCAGGTTCTGTGATGTCCTTCTTTTTATAGTAACTTCTTCTATCTCATCCTATGCTAGAGACTACAGAAGACAGTGACGACACTGATATCAAGCCACACTCAGTCACAGACATCATTATTCATTGATCTTATTTGAAAATTTGAAAATATAAAAGGCAGTTTTGTTTCGCCCTGTATATATAAACATCACACATAACCTACTGCTACATAATGTCAATGCGGTTGGCAGATCATTATCACAGTCATTATTTAATTTCAATAGTTTATTTAAAATCAGTTAAAGTTAAAATCTGTAAAGTCATATCAAAACATAATAGTCATAATAGCGGTATCCTGTAATATGGGATCAATTTTATTTTATAATAGGCATTGCATATTTAAATTTGTTTTTAACTCGATATAAACTACGAGCTTAATCGTTTGTAACACATATTTTTCCAAGTTGGGGTTTTAAGTGTGATTGTTTAAAAATAAAGATGTCTTTAGTTGTAACAAGAATACTGTTTAAAGGGACATTTCGCGCTCAACTTTTTACTAATGGAATTAAGAAGCCGTATTGTGCTTTACTTTTTCCCAATTTTAAAGTGAATTTTAATGAAAATGCATATTCCTCTATTAGATATGTACCAAAACCATGCCTAAGTAAACTACACAGTACGTGTAGCCCAATTAGCCCAAAAGTAAGGCAATTTTCAAGTAATGTTGATGATGGAAAGAAGAATGATAATGAAGACACTGAAGATAAGAAAAAGTTATCCCTTTTCCAACGATTTAAGCAAATGTATAAAGATTATTGGTATGTACTTGTACCCGTGCACATAGTAACATCAGTTGCATGGTTTGGTGGATTTTACTATCTTGCCTATAGGTATGTTTATTATAATTTTATTCAAAAGAGAGAGTCTAAATATCTTTTATCTTTTAGTGGTGTTGATATTCCAGCACTGTTGGAACTTATGAATTTCAGTGAGAAAATAGTTAATTCTATGCGAAATTCAAGTATGGGCTATGTTGCTATCGCATATGCTCTTTATAAAATTGTAACACCCTTAAGATATGCAGTTACATTGGGTGGAACAACAGTCACCATTCAGTACTTGAAAAAGCTGGGATACATTAAACCTATGCCGACAGATCGTTTAAAGAAAATGTATTCGGATACTAAGGAGGGTATTAAAGGAAAAAAGGAAAATTTAATGGTGAGTGTAAAAGAAAGTGTAAAGGAGACAAAAGAAGGAATCCAAGAGAAGAGAGATAGTATAGTTAGCAGTGTACAAAAATCAAGTACAAGCATAAAATCTATGAAGGATAAAGTTATCAGTCATTCGAGTACAGATAGAAGTAGCAAGCCATAATATAGTAGGACTTTCAGTCATTTTTTTTTAAAGGAAACATCGTCAGACAAATAATATTTTAGGTTTTGTAAATAGGTATATAATGGATTTTGTTTTCAAATTATTAAGAGTTAATTTGTTTTAAGTATAAATTTTTTTTAAAGAAGTATGGTGATGTTTTGAATTTAATGGAGCTTTATGCATGTAGGTATATTTACAACATATTTCTTGTTATAAATAGCATGACTTATTTATATTTATTAAGAAATATAAGTTATCTATATACATAACATATTTGAAAATAAAAGGATTTCGGACTTCATTGTTTTTATTTATTTTGATTAACACATAAAATAATAAAAAGAGTATCTATATCGCTAGATTACATTCATAGATAAAAAAGTAATATCAGGTAATATCTACAATATGATCGAAAATTTTACCGTAAAATTATATGGAGTCGTCATTTCCAAGCCAACTGGAAGCCGGTTTTTTTCGAACATACGGTATTAACGGTTAATGAATAAATATTAAATCATAAATATCGATATCGATGTTTCTTAAAAATACATCCCTATCTTTTATTTATTTAAAATGTTAAAATAGATCTATGGTCAAGACGCAACAGGTGATTGTGACAGATAGTGTCATAAAAGTGTATTTTTGGGGGTGTTTCTGTCTTTTTTGTTTAGATATTTTTTAAATTTATAGTTTTTACCAAACAAAATGAAGTTTATTTACATTTTAAATACTTAACACCAGTAGAAAAGAGGAAGATATTTGCATCTTTATTATTTTTAGTTCATATTTAAATCCCGAAATAATCATTATGTCCCCTGAATATGCAGAAATGGTAGCAGCCATCGCCTTTGGCGTACTATCTGCTATTTTTGTAAGTGCCTTTGTTATTCTCATCGTAATATGTCGAAGACAAAGGTTAGTCTATAAAGGAACGTATCTAGATGCTCACCATGATGTTACCAGGTATGCTATTATGAGATGAAATTGTTTTTTTCTCAATATTTTAACGTTAGGCCTGAAAAGCAGCTTATCGAACCTGAAAGACCAGAACTCGAATTAGGAGAGGTAAATCTCAATTTTGATGGGATTTTAACAGACGAACAATGGATAGATGATGCAACTGGATTAATACCTCACTGTTTGGCAATATTAAAAACCTGCAGGTTTTTAACAGAACGTTTGACCACATTAGCAATGAACTCGACTCCGCTATCGGGCAATTTTTCACAAATTGTGGAAAGTGCTAAAAGAATCTCCAGTAGAGTAGATGATATGGTAAGAAGTATGTATCCTCCTCTAGATCCTAGGCTTCTCGAAGCTAGAGCAGCTGCTTTAACTTTGGCAGTCACTCACCTTGCCCTTCTTGCTAAATATGAATGTGGTCAGAAAGACAGATATGGATTAATTTGGATTGATAAATTGTTAGAGGAAATGGATGGGCATGTTATGGTAATAATTTAACTTTTATTCATAGCATGTATGTACCACAATATTATTTTTTTTTAGTTTTTAAGAGAGGCATCTCTTTGTCAAGAGAACTTTAATAAGTTTCCAGTTACTGCCAATGGATTGTGAGATGGTATTTAATGTGTAATGTATGTTAATCCCAAAATTAATGATATAATGAGCTATTAATTATAATGAACTGTATATTGACAATATATTTTAATGACATTTTGTATATGACTCTTGTTAAATAAAAATCTTTTTAAGATAAATATGAACACCATTTATTTATTAAAAAGCAAAATAAATTAGTTATAAAATGGATTTTTCTTTTCTTAAAATGGTGTATGGACATTTCATGTTAGGTCTAGAGAAATTGCCGTTTTTGTATGGTGCAATAAATTATTTTTTAGCATTTTTCTCATTTTCCTTTAAAACTTTGCTTTTCAAGTGCTCCTTGTATGATAAGATATCTCCTTTCCATTTAGTCACAGTTCCTTTCTCACATACCCAAATTTCCTCTGCAACCTGAAAAGTTAAATTTTTAATCATAATATTGATATTTCTTTAACCCATACACAGGATAATTATTAATAATAAACCTATATATTTTTCTAGGTATACATAGAAATATGGGACACCCTGTAATATTAACAGCTTATAACAACACTAAACAGAGAGAGTAGGAAGATATTGCCATATAATTACATGGTTATTATACAGGGTGTCCCATTTTCGTGTTTTATGGAGTAGAGATACAAAGACGCGGTTTTCACATCACTGCGCTACTTTTTTATGAAACTAAATATGCTACATGCAGATTTCTCCTAGCCTTCTTAGATCCTGAAATACAGGACGAATTTTAAAATGTTGCGTTTTTCGACCCTCTTTGTACAGGGTGGCGCCTCTCATACGCCGCGGAAGCTCCAAGGAGAACGGTAGTTTATGTCCAAATGAAATTTTGGCAGCATATAACCTACATATTAATCTAACCTAACTGAAATAAGCATTTTATAAAAATATATAGAATTATACAGGGTGTCCCCAAAAAAGTTACACATCAAAGTTGCGTTTTTTCTAATGGAACACCCTATATATTAACTGATTTTCGGATTCTAGGAAAAAAATAAAGGTAAGTTTTATTAAAGAAGAATATACCTAAAATCTAAAGATTTTGACATATTTCACATTTTGTGAAAATGAAAAGTTAATTTTAAATTTCGATAACAGCTACCTAAATTTTAGTTGAACTAAAACCAAATTGAAATTTGACCCGAAAAGTTATACAGGGTGAGATAAAATTAATATGGAACATTAGTCACTTTTAAAAGTAAATTACTCCTTTATTTTAAATGGAACACCCAGTATATTATTCCGGTGTTCAATGGCAAATGTATATATCTTTAAAATATTATTAAGGTTGCTTACCCGTCAGACAAAGATTTTCCTAGATATTTTAATTTTTATGATTTTGCGTCAGTAGATCTTTATTATTTGATAAAATCTACGGCTATGTCTATGGCTGTGATTTAACTTTTGTCAATTTAACAAAGATTGTAGAGTAAAATACTCAGGTACTCGGTAATAAAAAGATACACGTTTAAAATATATTTCAATTATTACAGAATTAAAACTAGATATAAACCTATAATTATGTGACAAAAATTAGCTAGATGAAATCATATGCTCAAAATGCTTCCTTTCCTGTTAACTGCATAAAATGATTGTCTTTTCAAAACGATCTTTTCATTTTAAAAGGCGTATGTAGAGTTCTACCTCGAAAAGCAGCTACAATAATTTTTCTCATGTTGTCGACAATAGTTGGTCGAGTTTTGTAAACACTGTCTTTATCCCCATAAAAAAACTCAGACTAGATAAAATCATGAGCATTTAAGTATTCTATATTAATTATTCTCTCTGATGTAGGATAAGTTTGCATTTTCAAGAATTTTTTTCTTCTTTTCGTTTTAACTGACACAAAATTATAACTAGTTGTTAAAGTTGGACTAATTAGACAGCTATGTTGAAGTAACGTCAAACATATCACAGCCACCTAGATTTTATCAAATAATAGAGATCTACTCAGATCAAATCGTGTAAATGAAAATATCTAGGAAAATCTTTGTTTGAGGGGTAGGCACCTTAATTGTATTTTGAAGAGACATGAATTCTCCATTGAATATCGGAATAATATACTGGGTGTTCCATTTAAAATAAAAGAGTAACATGCTTTTAAAGGTGACCAATGTTCAATATTAATTTTGTCTCACCCTGTATAACTTTTTGGATCAAGTTTTAATCTTATTTGAAATAAAATTTATTTATAATTTTTTTTATTAACTACATATTAGGCTATACCAGGTAAATCCCAATTTAGGTAGCTTTTATGGCAATTTAAAAATTGTTCTTTATTTCTAGAAAATTTAGTCATATTCTAGCAATTTAGTCATATAGAACTCACCTTTATTTTTCCCCCAGAATCCGAAAATCAATTAATATATGGGTGTTCCATTACAAAAAACACAACTTTGATATGTAACTTTTTTTGGGGACACCCTGAAGAACTCTCTATATTTTTAAAAAGTGCTCTGAATTAACCTACACACGCTCACTAAATTTCATTTCAATATAAACCTTGGAGCCTCCGTGGCGTATGAGAGGCGCCACCCTGTATCTTGGTTATCTTATAACTTTGAAAAGGTGAGAACTACGACCAGGAGCATTATTTTAACCAGATAATTTTGCTTTCATCGTGTTATCTTAACAAACTGCACTGAAAATAAACTTATGCAGCTTTTAGCTTTTATTAGAGTTATTGATATTCTTGATGCACTTTTGCAATAATTTCACACACACACACAGAAACTAGCATGGAATAGCCAATACCAAATTTGACGCCTATTACCGATAACTATAAATAAATTTAAGGAAACACGTTTTTCCCCTGGACCCTTCAATTACTAGTATTATTAACACTAAATCACCACAATACACCAAAACACTTTTACTTTTACACTGGACGCGCGTTTCGCTAACCAAGTTAGCATCATCAGCAGATGATCAATACTAATCTAAAAAGTACAATTTAAGCGTTTATATACTCGCTCAGTGGGTACCGGGTACCGAGTGGGCGTGGCAAGATCTAGCCAACCGAGTCAGAGCCCACCGAGCGTAACAGTTAGATTTCCGCCACTAGACTAGTGGGAACAAAGAACTTGAAGGAATGGGACCGATGTCTCTGTTCATACTATCTTTACATTTATTCATTCTGATGCTTAATAAATGTAAAGATAGTATGAACAGACACACAGGGTTAATTCTGGTGCTTAATAAATGTAAAGATAGTATGAACAGAGACAACGGTCTAATTCCTTCAAGTTCTTTGTTCCTACTACTCTAGTGGCGGAAATCTAACTGTTATGCTCGGTGGGTTCTGACTCGGTTGGCTAGATCTTGACAATTGTAGTTTAGTATAATCATCTGCTGATGATGCTAACATGGTTAGCCAAACGCGCGTCCACTGTAAAAGTAAAAGTGTTTTGGTGTATTGTGGTGATTTAGTGTTTTATTTTGCTGTGTAACACCAAAGGTTCCAATCCCCAACTGTAATATTGTACTACCATTAAAAAAATCACCAAATTAGATGAAATTTGTAAAGTACGAATTTTCAATGATACCCAAAGCATCAACAAAATCAAGTTTACCTGACTAATAAGCCTAAAGTCGTGACTGACGAGTACCAGTCCTCCTTCAAAGTCATTTACAGCCTCGGCCAAAGCATCGATAGTCTCCATATCTAAATGATTAGTGGGTTCGTCAAGTAGCAGTAAATGGGGAGCTTGCCAAGCCAACCACGCAAACACCACTCGACATCTTTGTCCGTCCGACAACTGACGAATAGGACAGACCTACAAAACAACATTGTTGTTAGTTAAGTTGTTAGAAATAAAGGTAATTATCGTGGCTGAAGAAATCACAGTAGTTTTCATCGATTGTCATTTTCAAACCAACCGGATGCCGATTTTTTTTCGAGCATACGGTATTTATTTGTGTCATTATACCGTACGATTGAATAAAAACGACGTCAGCGATGACTATGAATTGAAGACCGTTGTCATTTTATATGGGAAATGTCATCAATCCTCATTTCCAAGCCAACTAGACGCCGTTTTTTTCGATTATACGGTATAACAGAAATAGTTGCCTAAATATGCCAACAAATTAGAAACATTATTTCTACAGACAAAAAAATACAAAACAAAAGAAAAAAATAATTCAAGTTATTAATACATAACATTGAATAAAAAAAAACAATGTACTTAAACTGCCGTTAAACGGTAGCCTACTAAAATGCCGTTAATAGATATTATGACGTCGTTGATATCGGCGGAAAGTAACGCCCGGTTATCGGCAGTTTTGCAAGAGCACCTGTGGCTCCGTGACTGAGGCTATCGCTTCGTGAGCGAATGGTCCGTGGTTCAAATCTTACGCCGGACCAAGACTTTTTTATATTTTTTTTTGCTTAGAGCGTGATTTGATTGCATTGCTTTCACTCTTTTTGGTTGGATTGGTTTAGTTATTTGGCGGCTTGGTTAGCGTGGTTATTTGGAGGGTGTTAATTCATTGGTTAGTTGGTTATTTGGTGGGGTTGGTTGGTTTTTACTAATTTATATTTGTTTTTTATATTTTTTTACCAGTGTCGAGGTTAGTTGTGTTGGTTAAGTTGGTTATTTGGCGGGGTGGATAGCGTTGGTTAGTCCTTATAAAATTCCTATATTTCATAAAGCCGTCAAGTGCGTCACATCAACGACGTCATACCTATTAACAGCATTTTAGTAAGCTACCGTTTAACGGAAGTTTAAGTACAACGTAAAAAAACTAAGGAAGGAGCATATCAACAAAATTAGCGCAACAGCGTTGGTACTTTAATCATCATCATCATCATTTAGCTTATTACGTCCATTGCTGAACAAAAGCCTCCCTTAACTCTAGCCATTTCTTTCTATTTTGTGCCACTTGAATTTCCACTCTCTTAACATCATCTGTCCATCGACTAGGAGGCCGTCCTCTGCTTCTATAGGCCTCGTGCCTTGGTCTCCATTCCACAAATCTCTTTATCCACCGTCCATCTGTTATCCTAGCCACATGTCCTGCCCAATTCCATTTAAGATGTAAGACAGACATCACCGCATCTCTTACTCTTGTTGGATTTCGTATGGTATGATGGGGTATTTTATCTCTAAGTGTAACTCCCAACATGGACCTTTCCATTTTCCGTTGCATGACTTGTATTCTATGTATGTTCTTTTTTGTCAAAGTAAGTGTTTCAGCTCCATACGTGAAGACAGGCAAGACACAGCGGTAGTGTGATGTTGCGGTAGAGGCAGCGAGTAGATACTCATTTATGATTCCGATAGGTGACAGATCTACTTCAGGGATGCACCCCTGCCTACGTGAGCCTTGGTTTATCTCCTAATTCCATACAGGGGAAACCATCGTCCTATCCTCGGTCCTTGTCCAAACCTAAAAATATCCCAGTTCGTATCAAATCCAATCTTCCAATACGTTTGGCCAAAGTGGAAGATTATGGATCAAAACCCCAAAGACATGGCGAATTCTAAAACAGAAAAGGAAAGTGTACCCCAGGTGGGTAGAATGAATGTCAACTCCCACACTTTGAAAAAAGTCGGCCTCGACGATTCTGGGGGAGGCAAAAATTCACTTGCACCAACAAAAATAAAGAGAACCTGCAAAAGATCACACTCACTATACAGGGTGGTCCGAACTGTATTCCGGAAACTTCGGCAGCATATTCTGCAGATAAAAATATGTAAAAACGTTCGTATAAATGTATGTCCTAAAATGGTTAGTTTCGGAGATACAGGGTGTACAAGATTCATTTTTATTTCTATTTTTTCCAAATAATTTCTGAAGTAACGTCAATATTTGGATGAAAATTGGTATGTGTTGAGCAGTGTGTATATTCTTTATTAATAAACTGAACATACAATATACAATATTGTTTCTTAACTTCTAACAAACTAATTAACTCTAAGAACTGCTAAGAACAAAAAACGAAGCCTTGAAGCAACAAGCAACGCACTTCACTTCTTGACAACCACAGACTTAACTTATCTCCATATTAACCTTAGACTATCAAAATAACTAGACAGCGATACTAGAATCTTTTGATTGTCTTTCTTAACACCCCTTCTTAATCAAAACATTCTACCATGTACACAATATCTACAGTTTCTTTTTGTACAAAAATATCTAATACTAATACATAGAACAATTTTAACATAGGAACAATCCTAAGTTAAATCTGTGTCTAATAAACAAATCACCTGGCAAATTCTTTGTTAAAATATCAGCAATTTGTTCATTAGACCTCACATATTCAACTAAAACCATCTTTTCAATAACTAGATCTTTAATAAAATTATATTTAACATCAATATGTTTTAGTCTTTTATGATACCAACGTTTTGTTAACCTTATACAGGACTGATTGTCTTCAAACATTACAAATTGACTCTGTGTAAAACCTTGATTTGCTTGCCTTTTGGATATGAACCAGCATTGTTTTCTGAAATGTCCTACCTTGCCACAGTTATGACATTTTATTCCTTTGCTGTCCTTTTGTCTTGTGTAATTTGTATCACTTTTATTTTCCTTCTGATAGTGCTTGTTACTTGTACCAGCATTTCTTGTATTCATGTTCCTTTGATAGCCACTAAATGCTGCAAGATCAGAGTCATTCCTCTCCTCAAAGTTCTTTCTTTTAACTTCATGGTCAAACCATTTTCCTTTCAAACTCAAGTGTTTATTTGTTTCTAACGTTTCCAGTGCTGTAACTATAGTATCATAACTCTTCCCGGTAATGTTAAAAGTAATGACAGACAATATCCTACTTCTTCAAGCGTAGCACCTACTGACTTTAGTTCTCTAATTGTTTCTTCAAACTTGGTGAAATGAGTTTCTAGTTTCATTTGCATTAAATTTCATTGAAAAAGCAATTTTCTTCTTAAATAAAAGTTAGCTTGCCACTCCTTTTCTTTAAGGACACTTTTTTCAGTGCCTTCCACATGTCATACGAAGTATTTTTGTCCTTTATATATTCCAAATATGTTGCAACACACTGTACAATGACTGATTTACATTTTTTATCTAGCTTAATTTGTTCTTCTGTAGGAGAAGTTATTTGTTCAGTTATGCACTTCTTGACTCCATAATGATCAAGAACAGTTTCAACCCTAAATTTCCAGTGATCAAAATTCTTTCCGTCAAATTGCGTGATTCCAAATTTCTCAACTGAATAGTCAAATTTCTGGCTCGCCATTTTGAAAACTGTGTTACTGTGTTAATCTTCGAATAGGTTTACTTTATTTTCCAACTCTTATATCTAGGCATGGACTGGGCCCATAACCTGTTGAGCAGTGTGTATATTCTTTATTAATAAACTGAACATACAATATACAATGTTGTTTCTTAACTTCTAACAAACTAATTAACTCTAAGAACTGCTAAGAACAAAAAACGAAGCCTTCAAGCAACAAGCAACGCACTTCACTTCTTGACAACTACAGACTACAGACTTAACTTATCTCCATATTAACCTTAGACTATCAAAATAACTAGACACAGCGATACTAGAATCTTTTGATTGTCTTTCTTAACAATGTGGGAGTTTATTGACATGAGAAATTTGAATTTGATGTCAATATGACTGCTGTTTGTATGGAGCGCCACCTATATGTGTTTTAAGTGTTTTGAAGAGTAATAACTTTTCGTCCGTACCTGTATAAAACTACTGAGTGAAAAAATATACATTCACGAGTTTTTTTACGTAAATAAGATCTCTTGGTAAAAATCGCTACGAGTAATGGTTCTCCAGATATTTAGAATCGAAATTATTAATACCTCTCGTCATTGACATTAATTAAACATGATGACTAAATAGTTATTAAACTGAAATCATAAATTTGAAATGTGTTTGTGCCAAAAGTTCAACAGAAACTTTTTTATCATCATTTTTTCAAAGAAAAATTTATGATTAATTTATAAATATAAAAAACTATCTACTCGGCATTGTTTATTTTTTGTCAATAATGACATGTATTGACTTTTTCTAAATATCTTGAGAACGGTTGATCATAGCCATTTTTACCTAGAGATATTTTTTGCGTAAAAAGTCACGGAAATGTATATTTTTTTACCCAGTAGTTTTATACAGGTACGGACGAAAAGTTATTACTTTTAATAAAGGTTAAAACACATGTAGGTGGTGCCCCCTACAATTTAAATCATTAGATATGTTTCTAAGCATTTGTAATGGAATTATAAGGATATTGTTAGGGTGTCCATATTTTTTATAACGAGAAAACGTCAGTAATCGCGATAATTTAAAAACTCAACTTTTTAACACATAACACGTTATAACTCAATAACCGCTTTAGATATTGACTTTTTTTATTTTGAAGTTCAGATCTTTTACAAAATGTTTAAGAGAAATGTATGCGAAAAAATCGATAGGCTTGTTTTTTTCCATGCAAAAATTAAAAAAAAACGTCCATTTACTTTTAGTGCATAGCAATTTTCAGCAATCATGTAACTTTTTTATTTGTAAAGATTTTCCGGCGTAAAGATTTGCCGGCGAAGAAAATATAATAGAAATATTAAGAAAGTTTTTGAAAAAAACCACAATCAATTATATCTCATGGATTTCAAGATATCGATTTTTGAATTCAGAGTTAATATATAAATATAAATAAGGCGACCACTGTCGAACACTAACTCAATTCCACTTATTTTGACCAAAAGTGCAAGTGTTTCTAACTTGCACTTAAAAATTTACAAGATATAGGGAAAATTAAGAACCCTTCCCGGACACAAACGGTACATTGTG